GTCTCCTGCACAGTTCTTTTCATCTCAGCCTTTTCTCCTCCTCCTTTTGCTCTGCTTAGTTCAATCTCTTCCCTTCCTCTCTCATTCTGCTCAGGAGCCAGCAACTCATATCTTCAGTGCCCAGGGCTCCAGGGCTGAGTGGAGAAGGGGGTTGGGCAAGCTGCACCCCAAGAGCAAAGGGAGGCTCTTGCAGGCATGGCGCTTCCGCCTGTTGTTGGTACGCTCTTTCCTCTCCTGAGGATGCAGGAGGGGACTGGCTGCATGTGGAACACGTTGGTGCTGCTGTAGATTTCAGAAAAGGATCAGCCTAGCATGGGCAGATGTGTTAAGCAAGATAATTAACTGGCCTTCCAAATAGGTGGGATCTGTCCTACTGGCAGGTTACCAGGGCTCTCAGCCCTGGATGGCTTTCCCCTCTGGGGGACATTCAGTCACAACTGCAGACATTTTTGGCTGCCCCAATTGGGGGGAGTACTAGCAAAGGGAAGAGGTCAGGGATCATGTTAACATCCCACAATGCACAAGGGACCACCCCACCCCATCAAAGAATTATCTGGCCGCAAATATTCAACAGTGCTGGGGCTGAGAAACCTGGGCTTAGACCAAGGACATTCAGGGCAGGTGTCATATCAGAAGAAAGAAAAAAACGCAGTAAGTAACTCATTGATAAGTAACTCATTGATAAAAAAAAATCATTTGGGCCACATCTCACCAACTTCACACATTTACACACACAGGGCGACACTTTTTACCTCTAAATATTAACTTGATCTCGGTACAGGTATAAACTAGGAGGGAGCAGGTAAGTGCACACAGGCTTTCACCCTCAGCATCCTGTCTCTGTCACCACACCAGCTTGTGTGCTTTCCTTTAAGAGCATAAACTTTCCAAGGCGGAGGACTTGGTCCAACAGACTTCCAGCCCTGTCTTGGGACTGGCCCATCAGGGCAGGTGACACAGTGGCCTCCGGAGTCACACTGCCTGGGTTTAAGTCTGCACTCCACCCTCAGTGTATCACTTAAGAAGTCATTTTCCCTTCACAAAGGCTTGGCATCCTCATCTATATAGGTGGGGTCTTAGGGGACCCACCTACCTCACAGGCAGAATTAGAGAAGTTAACATGAATCAAATGCTAGTACAGTTATATGGTGCTTACCAATGGGGACCTATTTTTAAAAATGCCTCATTAGGTGATTCTGTCATCACAAATGTCATGTGTAACCAATGGCACATCTAGGCTACATGACAGATGAGTATATTATATTCATATCAGGGTAAAGCCTATTGCTCCTCGGCTACAAATCTATATGTATATAATGTTCCTATACTAAATATTATAGGCAACTGTACCCCAGGAGGAAGCACTGATGCATCTAAACACACATAAAGATAGAAAAAGTACTGTAAAATTTTAGACAATAGTAATTTTCCAGCTTCATTATAATGTGCTCCATTATTGACCAAAACATTGTTATGTGCCATTTTAGTGTAAATGTATGTGGGCGACCGAAGTATATTAAAGAAAAGAAAGATAGGGTTAAACTCTGTCTCCATACTACCAAATTAGAAAGAAAAAATTATATAAAATAACTTGGCTTTTATCTTTTAGGAGGTCAGAAATTTTGAGATTTTTTTCTTTGAGATTTAACAAGCATGAAAATTTGTTAACATTTATAGGCAAAAGGAATTGAAATCCATAACGGGACTGATTTTCCTTCACAATAAATGCTTTGCCCCTATTCCTCTACTAAATCCAGTTCTCTCACTATATTTATTGCTACAGGTTAATTTCATTATTATTGTCTCCTGATAAAAACTGATTTATGACACAATGGTAAGAAAATTTAAAAAAGAATCGAACAGTTTTCTGAGGTTGACTACCACTAGTCGTCCTTCTTTGTAAGAGCTCTTTGAGTCCACATGGACATTCTCCAGTCTTATGGGTCTCTTTCAAGCTCACAGAGAGTTTACATTTTAATTGTTTTGCAACTGAACTTTCTGAAACTTACTTTTCCTAATCCTTCTGGTTTCTGATCCTTCACTACTTTTTCCTTGACTTCCCATGTGTGTATCTTGAGGAAAGGAAGTGGGATTATTAATTATTTGTTCACATGTGCAATTATTCCCTGATGCTCAAGAAGCATTTGCTGAGTACCAGTGTATTCTAGACCCTGCTCCAGCAGTGAACACACACTGCACTGCCCTGCCCTCCAGAAGGGAGTGCTCTTGAGTAAGAAGACAGATGGGAGAACTAAAAGAGTTCATCAGATACAAGGCCATTTCCAACATTATTATAAAGGAAATGGAATGCATGGCTGTATTAGTTTCCTATGGCTGCTATAACAATGACCACAAATTTGATTTAAGGCGTAAACCAACACAAATTTGTTATCTTACAGTTCTACACTCAGAAGTTCAATGGGGGTCTCATGGGAGTAAATTTAGGGGGTTTTTCAGGGCCATGTTCCTCCTGGACCTCTTCTGGATAATCCATTGTTTTACCTTTCCAGTATGAAGAGGGACTTGCATTCCTTGGTCATGGTCCTCTGTTACATCCTCAGAACCATCAATGGACAATTTCCAAGTCTTCTCATGCTGCCACTGACTCTACCCTTTCCTTCCACATAAGACAGCCTTGTAATTACACTGAGCCCACCTGGATCATCTAAATAATCATCTTTCAGAGCCAGCTGACTGAATTTCTACATTTCACCCACAACCTTAATTCTGCCTTTTCCATGAAATAAAGCATATCCAAGGGTTCTGGAAATCAGGACAACAACTCCATTGGGGCCATTAGTCAGCCTCCTGTGATGATGTGACAGAAAACTGTAACTTTAGGATAAAATAGGTGCTTATCAAATGCAAGAGTTGGTGAAATGGATCAAAACTACATACATTTCCTTTTGTTAGATGAAGAAAGCATGAACTGTTTTCTTTATTGCAGGAGCTTCAGGGGTGAGGTGGTTTTGGGCATCCTTCTTGGTTAACTAAATTATCCTAAAGCAGAGCTTCTCAGAGGCTAACTCAGATGCCAAGGAGCGACTCCCGCTGCCTTTGTCTTTCTTCTTCACTGGAGCCGGCCCCGCCATCTGGCTAGTGAAGGCCCCACGGTGAGGACTTTCCTCCTGCTTTTCACAGCCACCTTTTCCTGCTGCTTGCCGGAGCGCCCCACCTTGATTCTAGTTGGCAGCAGCAATCTTCCTGAATTATAGCTAGAGATTACTTTTTAAGGTTCCTAGGAGTTCACTTTCTAGATACAGAGTTTTAAAATAGCTGAGAAAAAAGTCTAAAATGGTTCTGAAAAGCTTCTGATGGGTGAAGGGTGAGATTTGACAGCTTTTATGGAATTGCTTTGGTGCAGCATGAAGGCAGTGAGTTTAATTTTTAATTTCTCCAGTGCTGCTTGATTTTATGATGCCGCTATTTTGCCGGCTGTGTCTGACGCATGCTCCTCCTCATTACTAAATTACAGCCTTCTGTTCCTGAAAAGGTCCCAGAAGAATTAAGCCTTGACAGTCTAACAAAACCTAGCGTCACTGACCCTTCCTGCCCCTGATTATATAACACAGTTGGTTGTATATGTGTCACTTTGCCTCATTATTTGCAAGCATCTACTTTATCCAGGATTCTTGGCTGTGTTTCCAATGCAAGTGTAAGCTCTCAGCAGGAAGAGGGAAGTGGCTCATGGCTCCTATGTGGCTTATACTTCTGTATAGCAGATTCTGAGTCCTGTGGCAGAAGTTGCTAAGTTATATTATTTCATAAAAGATGTTGTTTGAGAATACTGTAAAAAAAAGTAATTTCACTTTCTAGGTGTCTTTTACTAGGGCAGCAGGACATGGGCTGAATTCACCTGGAAGATTCTGGCATCTATCTTTGGAGGATAATTGGCTAAGGCACATGTGAGCATTTATGAAGGCCGTTCTTACCCACCTCAAGACACACCCCCCCACAATGCATACTTCAGTCTGTTTTCTCTGGATATCATGATTGTCTCATTTTATATTGAGTTAGAGCTAATTAGAAAATCACCCTCCACACAGACATTTTCATTTTAGCTGATAACTGCCACTAAAATCTCTAACCTAGAAGCACATATATGTACCAACTCCACGTAAGGAATGTAAACCGTATGTATTACAAACATGTACCAAGAAAAAAAAGGAAGGAAATCGAGAGATGGATGGAGGGGAGAGACAAAATGGGAGGGGATAAAAAAGGAATTAAGATGTGCTGTATAAAGTTACCAATTAACATTATGTACTACACACATGTAACAATAAAGAAAATGATCTGGAAAGAAAACCTGAGGGGCAGAGGATTTAGCTCAGCGGCTCAAGTGCTTACCTGCTAAGCGTGAAGTTGTGAGTTCAATCCCAGGCACCAAAAAAACTCCAAAACAAAAACAAAAAACAAAAAAACCCGAGTAAAAAGAAGATAAGAAAGCAAATCTGAAATATCTAGAGATATAATTCTATTGATTGAAAATTTGCGAGAATAAAGCTTCCAGGCAAAAAGAATATGAACACCGATGCTAGGCCGATCTTAACAAAATAAACCGTGAAAAATTGGGAATATACTTTCTTTAATTTCTCTCTTAATTTTTCCTTAAATCTACCCTCAGGATTAAATGGCAGCACAGCCTCATTGGTTCTATTTTCTATGGCTAAGAACATGAGAAGTATGAGTATTCATCCTGCCAAAAGTCCAAAGAACTGGTCTCACTTTTGCTCCTGGACAGGAAAACCCAGTTGATTACATTATAATCAGTGTAAACACAAACTGGAATGTGTGTGTGTGTGTGTGTACAGTGTAACAGTCGCAGAAAACCTAAATTGAAACCTTGCTACATGCAGCTATAATGTTCACTTAGATAACTGCTTTTGTAAACCAGGTTCTTACACAGTCTTAGTTTGCTGCTATGGAAGCAATGACATTAGCAGAAATAACAGGGAGGCCGCAAATCTTCAGGGATTATTTTTTAATGGAAAGGAAAATTCTAAAACTAAAAATATACTTTTTATTTGCAACTATGGGAATACAAACACTAGAAAAACACAAGAGGACTATATAATTACGACATGGAAGGTATTCCATCTAGTGGTTTCCAGAAAGGACAATCATGGGATAGAGTCTAAGGCTTAGCTCATTACAATTGGGGCAAAGGAAAAAGTACCATCTACATCTGGGGGGCTGGTCTTCACAATGCCCACTCTTGCAGACTGGCAGGGTGCGTTTACTCTAACACCTCTTGAGTTTCGAATTTATATCACTTATGACATTATGAACCTCTCCACCTCCCTCCTGAGCAGACAACTGCCTACCACAGAGATTCTGTCCCTTCCTTCATTGATAACTGTTAATTTTGACTGACATTTATTTTACAGAGCCCATTAAAAATGTTCAAGCTTGAAATATATGACTGATGTCCTCACTAATAAGCACCAACACCACTTGGACTTTTGGAAGCATTATTTTAAGATTGGTGGTCTAGCTCACCATTATTAGCAAAAACCACAAAATGGTTTTCTGCATGCTAAACTTAGTGATCCTATTTTGTTAGCTGTAAACTATTTACATCAAAATGCTGACTCATAAAACTTGGTTACAGAAAAAAGATTCTTTCAATTAAGGAGATTTATACTTTAAAAAAAAATCTTTTGATTTCTTCTGAATTTCAAAATTTTAGGAAGTTAAAAGGAGAAATTTACATTTCTACATTTAAATTCACACTGTAAAGCAATGATAGACTTGCACTAAAAATGGTAAAGACTTGCTTGTATTTTTCTTATCAACTAGATATTTGAAAACAATGCCATTATCTCTGCAATCTGAAAGAGGGTACTGTTGACTTCGTAACTTTTTGGCATGAAGCATCTTTTTTTTCATGGCTAGCAGTAGCATCTTCTACAAAGTTGAGTGTATTGCACCAAGGACGTTTTATTTAATTAAAAGTTTTTTATTAGTTAGTTGATCTAGAAAAATATTATCACAGATTTTTGTAACAGGAGAAATATTATGGTTAAAGATTAAAAACTACTTTGTGAAAGAAAAACACACAGTTGCTACTTGAAATATCTAGGACAATCCTACACCAGTACTATATCAGCACTGCATTGTAGAAAGTTGCTCCCTGGCCATTTACAATGGATACTGAACAATTCAATTTTAATTTTTGTAGTGAAATATGCACGTGGCCCTGTCAGCTTCTATTAACCTCTTGGATCTAGCAATACAAATGGCTAGCACATGAACATTTAAAAAGAAAAAAGTCATGGGACAATACAGTCACGTTATCTTGGTCATGTAAAAGGAGAGATTCAGTAAATAAGTATAAATGATTTCTAATGATTTGGAAGAAAAAATTATGTAACAATTACATTGTGTTTCCACTGGCAAATCCATTAAAAGTTGATGCCTCAAGCACTTTTTGCTATCCATAAATTCTCATGGTTGATGCTTATTTTTTTTTTTTTTTTTTTTTTTTTGTCCTGCAATCTGTATTTTATTAGAGACTTTAGTTTGGGGAATTCTTTGCTGCTGGCTGAAAGACCCTATGCATACCCTGGGGTGTTGTAACAGCACATTAATGCAATATTACATTAATCAATGGCACCACAGACATATACTATTTTAAAAGAAAACAACTGCAAAACCCACATCTGTGTTGTATGGGTAAGTGTGATTCTCACTTGGCAAAATGTCACATTCCAAATGTAGCTATCCTGAAACAAATCCAATTTGTGCACTTTATATCAACAACAGAAAAAACACTGATCGAGCAAAGATAATGTATTTATGCGTCCATCATTTATCACTAGAATGTATAATGTGAAAGGAATGAAACGTGGAGCCAAAGAGAAACATTCCTCTAAAATTAATTAGTAAGCTTCTAAAGATCTTTATCAAAAGGATGCATGCAGGCAGATACATAAATCACCCTTGTGGAACAGCTCCGGGGCTACGACAGGAGCCAAGCCACAATCACTGCAGCTTGAATACCTGCCAGACTGTCACCCTCATGTGGCTCTGTTTATTATCCAGAAAGGGATTGCAAGCGATTATCTGGATAATTTGTAGAAAGCAGATTTCACATTTTACTACTCAAATCTCACTTCATGGCTGGTGTGCTCTGGGAACAAGGCCACAGACAGGCTTATTTTCCCGGAAAGCCAATTTACCTGCCCCAGTGTCCTGGGCTACCCAGGAGTTTGGAGTGTGGCGTTGGGTACACAAAGAGCACTGGAGACCTGAGCCAGTCAGTCTTGCAAACAGCGTCTGCAGGCAGAGCCTTTGAGGGTGAAGCCTGGTGAAACCAGCAACAATGTATTATCAGAACGAAAACCAACCTTCCATAAAATCTATGGCTGGTGAGTAAGTAGCACAATTTCAGTAGGGCATGTCTTCTACCAGAAAGAGGGTTACTTCAATAGTCTAGAAATAATTCTTTCCACTTTTTCTTGCCTTCATCTTGAATTGCCATCTGTACCTCCTGGAACCCTTTGCTTGTCTCCAAACCAGACATCTTTCCCATCACTGCTTCAGAGCCATCCCTCTATTTCTGCTCTTGATTTGAATTCCTCACGTTTCAGGGTCTTCTATGGCTAGAAAAAGGGAGATTAAAGATGGCTGTACACGCTTTGCCACTTTCCCACTGTGAGGTAGAATCTGCCTTCTTGCCCCTTGAATCTGAACTGGGCTTAAGGAGTTGGCTGGCCAAGAGAGGCAACAGAAATGATTGTCTGCTTCTGCAGATGGGTCTGCAGAGGCCCTGTGGTCCTACCTGTGTGAACTCCTTAAATATGGATCTGGGACCCACAAGCTGACAATAAGAAGTCAGGCCACCCAGAGAGGCTAGTGAGGCCACAAGTCAGTGCCCTTGTCAACAGCCCCAGCCAAACATGACTTTCCAGCCATCCTGACCAAGGTGTGAGGCCACATCAGCTGGGTGTCAATAACGTGCAATGGGAGAATCCTGCCATGCAGCATCTCCTCGGTTCCAGATCTACACAATCTGGAGAAATAATAAAAAGGAGGTCGCTGTACACTAAGTTTTGGTATACAGTAGTCCCCTCCCTCACCTACAGTTTCATAGTCTCAACTCCTTGGGGTTCAAAAACAAATTAAAAAAATACAGAAAAATACTTAAGTTTTAAATTGCACATCAGGTGGCCACCCCAGGGGGAGAACCACCCAGCGCCTCCCAAGATCCGTGCCATGTTGGAAACCAAGCAACCAGCCCGCCTCCCTGGTAAGCAGCCGTGAGGCTACCAGCTACCGGCATGCGGGCTGAGAATCAAACATCCCATCCTCTCCACCCTCATTAGCAAATGGGAGCCAGAGGTCTGAGCAGCTCTTGGGAAGTTGACCATATGCAATAAAGCAAATAGGGGGAATTCCTTCTACCATCTCTTTAAGGCAAATATTGTTATCACTGTTTTGCTTTGTTCTGATTAACTGTATTGCTCTATTCAACACTGTGTTCTATAATGTTCTGTATTTGGTTTGATTTTGGTTTGAGTTCTATAATGTTCTGTATTTGGTTTGATATCTGAGTGAAAGAACAACTATTGTGAAGATAACAAGATATACTATGGCCCCTATTACTGTTACCCTGGTAACCTGTTGTGACATTCTGTACCAATTTCACTGCACTGTCTCAATTAGCTTTGTTCTGTTGTATTTCACTACCTTTAAAGTAATAATAAAAAACACTAAAAAAGAGAAGATTTAGATAAGAGAAAGAAAAAGAGAGTGAGTGAGCAGATGTCAAGGAGGTTCAGACATTCCCATGTCTGTCTTGACCTCCTTTGTTGTAGATCAAAAGGGTTATTGAATTATTTTCTAAATAAAATATACCCTCGTTAATGAAAAAATGCACATCATTCTTAATTTTTCATTCATGTAATATCATCTCATCATGGAGGCAGGGTACTGTCTCACATTACAAGCAGAAGGCTGAAAACCCTGTGGTCAGATATGTGGAGACAGACCACATTTCTTTCCCTATATTTGAGAATTTTCCTGCCATTATGTCTGTGAACAGATTTTTTTAATGCCATTTGTGTTGTCTTCTGGTTTTTCACTTATTCCAATTCTACTTAGATTAGTCTTCTTTGTATCATCTAGCAGTTGCTGGATCAATTTTTTCATTTTCTCTTTTTAAAGTGTCCTTGAGTAATGAGTCTTTGAAGGCACCATTGTCTTCTAGGTTTCAAATTCTGTTCTCACATTGGTTCATCCTGCTGCTCATACCTTCAGTGCAGTTTTTAATCTAGATTTCTCATTCAAACTTTTCCATGGGCTCTAATTCTTTAGCAAACTCATGTTTTATATAGTTCTGTTTAGCTCATCTAGGCTTTGTGTTTTCTGACAACCCCTGCATCTTTTGGTTATTATGTCTATTATCCATTTAGTTATTTCTTTTCCAATCTCATCCCTGAGGTGTTTTCTAAGCCCCTGTACCACGTTTTTGAGTAGTTCAGGTGTGTGGTTTATACTATCTGCTTCTTGGTACCCTCTGAATTGGCTTTGCTACACCCCAGGACTCAACCACCTTGGTTATTTTGGGAAAGGAAGATGCAGTGTAGTTAGCCCAGGAACCAAGTTTCTGGAAATGTACTGTACTACTGTTAATGTCACAAGGACAATCTAAATGTTGGGTTACAGAGAAATAGTGACAATTATATGACCCTGTTAATATCAAGCAAAACGGCTACAGTAGTATTTCCCAAGACAAATTAGCTACTAACATACTGTAACAATCAGTTATGCGCCACCCTTAATCCCAGAGAAGAAACCATCAGTTATGATCTAAACCTTAAGGCAACCCAGGTGGTGATTTACAGCTCATATGTACTAAATGCAACAGCTATGTCTCTGCTAATGGTAGAAAATATGCTCAACGGTAATTGTACAGAGTTAACTATCAAAATATTAACAAAGTTTTCTGGTTGTACTATCAGAATTTAGGGATTCATAATGATGGGTGCAAAAAGAAACTTTAAAACCTTAAACTCTATGATATGAGGAAGTACAAAAGATCTTATTGGGGAGAAGGATGGCTACAGAATTAAGTAAACACAGCACAACAGTTGGCAAAAAACAGAAGATAAAACAAAAAGAGGGAGAAGAATTATACAGAGAATGAAAGTAAGAGAGCAGTAATTAAGGGGAAAAAATTTAAAGTGGAGAAGGGGAAATAATGGAGCAATAAAAGAAGAAAAAAGGGTTAGAAGCAAAGCTGAAGGGCCAAGGAAGATTCCCAAGGCCCAGGGCCAGAAACAAAACAAAGAAGCCTAATGTACTCTCACAAAAAAAAGACAAACAATTAAAAAAAGAACAAAAATTTTAAAAAACACACAAGAGAAAATGTCTCTGCGATTTCAAGCCTGTAGTTCTCTTCCAGAGTCTAAGTTTTGTGACAGTGTCCAATCCAAGATGCGTCCCTACTCTTGCCGGTAGACAAAGGAGGCAGCCGGGGCCCAGATCCATGCTGGCTACTCACCGGCAAGCCAGCAGTAGGACTAGCGTGGGGTGCCAGTCCTGGGACTTCCAAGTCCATGGTAACTTAGGGTGAACGTTCATGTAACTTTTACTACAGCCCTGATATAACTGTTGTAGTTCTAGTCACTGCTCATTTCTTATGGTGCCTAATTTATCAATTAAACTTTATAATAGGTATGAACACATAGACGAAATATAGCATATCTACGTATCAGTGTTAACGTCGGTTTTAAGCATCCTTTGGGGGTCTTGCACTGTATTTCCCTCAGACAAGGAGAGACTAGCATAGTACGTTATGCAACCACACACTGTAATAGCACCCCTCCAACCTTCTGGGTTTCCTTTTTCACTCACTCCTACTTCTCTCTGCAATCTGTTCGTCGTGTTAAATCTTCCTCTCACACCAAGTAGTACAGCCCTGTGTACCTCCGTTACTACCTTCAAACCCTGCTCTCTCCCCATCGCTTCCGTTTCTAACTTCCCACTCTGTAGACATATACGATCTGGTGTTCGCAGTGTCCATTTTAAAATGGCAGAATTTGAAATTAGAAAGGGACCCAAAAGGTCATGGAATCCCGCCATGTGTCCTCTGCTGAATCTGCCTCCATGAGGCCCCTTCTTAATAGTAGATGTCTGGACAGTGCTATGACATCTCAAGGAATATGGCACATGGCACCACCCAAGGGTGCTTGTTTTAGCTCCAGATACCTGAGATGGTGAGGAAGTTCTCTCTGATTCTGCACAAAATCCTCTCTCACTAAAGATCCCAATCATTGGTCCCAGTTCTCTTGCTCATTATGTAGGAAAAACTAAATCTCTCCAGTTTGAAGCATTTCCAACAATTCAGGTCCATATGGACCAGGAGGTGGGAAGATGGCTGGGAAGAAAAGATTGTATCAGACACTGCTTCCTTCCTCAAACATTTTACTGTTGCTATGTCTTTGAAATTTCTGTGTAAAGTCACAGGGTGTATTTCACAGTCAACTTAACTTTCTGAAATGTAATTTAAGTGAGACAGTGAGCCACCTTTCTGTTTGGTTGTGGGAAACACAGCAGTAGCAGAGTCAGGGACAGTGGTGCTGGCCAGTGTGGTGCTTTGGACTACACACAGTGAGCTCAGCCTGCCTTATGGCGATCCTGGCTATATTATGCTCTAACTATGTGATCTTGAGTAAATTACCTGCTAACATCACAAGCACTTCAGGAAATTCAACCATGTGCAGTTATTTCACAATCAAATTCCAGTTTAAATATTCCAGTTTAAGATGGCACTCTTTTGCTGGGATAGAATCTAAATTCTAGGAAAGGCCATAGGCATTACAGTATCAAGGGAGTAACATCTGGTGTATTTGTCCTCTGTTCCTGCCCACCCTTGTTAGGAACTTCAACCCACAAGGCTTTTGCTGCTTACACTGCTTCTATGTCCACAGCCTCCAGCACAGAGGATTCACACCAAGTCTGCTAATCGCCTTCCCTTATGAGGACTTCTGACGCTCCGATCCTTCTCATAGAGGCCTCTGGGGACACGGGGAATCTGTGCAGCTTGAGCATCTCATCCAGCCTTCACTGCTTGCCAACCCATTGTCTTGATGCTTGTTTCTTCTTTGGGAGAGAATTCTCTGGAACTCAAATCCAGGCATCCTGTACTCTGAAATTTCCTCAAATACTTGTGAGACTTCCATTCTCTCCTGTCGTCAAGACATCAGGGCCTGGTGCGCCTTCTCAGGGTCCTTCAGAAACCAAACTGCAGGTTCTCCTCCTGCCAGCAGCTAACAGATGATTTTCTTCAGGCCAGGAAGATTCTAACTCCATCTTTCATTCTCCCCAACTCATGTGAGGGGATCATCTGGCTCTAGCTCTTGATATGCAAAACAAATCTCAAAGACTTTTTTATCTTAAGAAAAATCCTGTCCTATAATTTAAAAAACAAACTAAAGCAACAACAAAAATATAATCCTGGCTTGACAATCTTTTTGAGTTGTGTGACCCAATTTTAGAAATTAATGGCCAGGAATTTGCCTTTTCTGCAATTAACCTGTCCTTGAAGCTAATTCAAGGCCACAAGATAGAAAGGAATTATGAAGATGAAAAAACAACT